ATTCACCATTTTCACAAATGTCTGGCGAGAATTTTGCGCTAATAGGCAGTGGAGTAGTTTCCTCCTCAGGGGCTCCATATCAAATTTCTAGAACTGTCTAGCAGATTCATAAGAAAAAAAAAACACTGTTAAAGCATATCTTCAATTTTACCAGTAACTCCCATCAGTTTAGGAAGTACATTCACCATTTTCACAAATGTCTGGCGAGAATTTTGCGCTAATAGGCAGTGGAGCAGCTTCCTCTTTAGGAGCTTCATATCCAATTTCTAGAACTTTCCTCCAAATTCATAAGAAAAAAAAGAGACACACGGTTAAAGCATATCTTCAATTTTACCAGTAACTCCTATAAGTTAGGTGGGCACGTTTTTTTTTGCTTTTATCGTTTACGATTTTTCAGATTATTATGCATTAGAAAATGTTTGGGATGACGGTCAATCTACTTTTTTTTTATTTTTTCCATTAAACCATCCAAAGCGGAAAACGATTTTGGTGTATCGGAATTTTCAGCATCTCAAAACAGTACTATGCGCAGTCAAAGTTGTCTCATAAAATATTTTAATTACTTTTTATTTCGAAAAGCTTCTTTCAGCTGTTGAAGCATGCTACTATCACCTAGCCGTACAATCTAAGGTTCAGCGCCTGATAATGTTTAATTTAATGTACGGCCTAAACGTTATGAAAACTTTTTCCCTACGTCGGGACTTCTTTAAGCTTGACACGACTGATACGGGGGTAACTACGCCCCTGCTAAGTGGCTTCAGTTCGTAAGCAACTACAAAGTATTTCTAAAGATTTTTTTTAATTTCTCCCAGAACCATAGGGAAAAGCAACTCTCAAAGCGAGTTTTTCCTCTGTTGGTAATTTGCATGTATAAAGTTTTCCCAGCCATTAACCCTCTAAATTCGCTGAAGCGTAAGCTGTATCGCTGTAGTTGCTCTAATAACAGTTGACAGTTTTAATTAACTCTTCATCGCAAAGCCCAATCGCGGTTATAGAATGGAACGAGGAAGCTTTGCGCATACTACTAGTGGGGTTTTGTTGCTTGTTTTTCATATATTTTTTTTATGTAGACCAGCGATAATTCACTGACATAGCTTTATAAATTCCACGTATTATTTATTAAGCCTGATTTTAACCTGGCGATATGTAAAAAAATCTTGAATTCTAATAAGCATACGTTTACCTTTTTTGTCGTTCAGTACAATAATAAAAATAATCTGTATTCCAACGCGTTTGTACCCAATCACAGGAACAACCAATAGTAAATATCAAGTTCTGGTTTCTCTTGTGTATTAAAGGTAATTTCACAAACGCATGAAAGACATTATTACAGAAAATGAAAACCAACATGAATGAGTAAAATTGGCTCAAAAAATATATATAAAAAATACGGCTCCATTTGCAAAAATGAACATTCCTGGTTAAACTCAGCTTATGATTAAAGTCATATGAATAGTATAATTATTGATATCGCATCATTGACAGGAGACATGTCTGATACGTTGGTTCTACTCGTAGCGCTATAAAAAGTTGCATTAGAGCGAGTTTATCTCTTTGGCACCACAAAATTCATTTTAGGTAATAATTCCGGGTAATCAAGTTTATCATTAACCAGACTATAAAGCACTGAATATCATTTAATTGACGACCGTAAACCATTGCATCAAAATTCATGAGTTGAGGGTAGCATGTTTTGTGGGATATAATATAACAGGATATATGCCATAAACTTGGAAATGGATGTATTTCAGGCTCTTCCGCTGGACAGATTCAATGGTAGAAATTGCATTCTGATAAATTGGCAAAAAAACCAGTGTAGCATATTCCAGTTTACTCCTATTAAAAGATGTATACAGGGCGTTAATTTGAAAATTTCTTACCACGGATTTATCGAAAATCAGGTCCTTTATTTTGACGATTATTTTTTCATAATCGGTCGATAAAACAAAAACACACGTCAATATCATTTTTCATTTCAATAACTGTTCAAAATGTTGCTCCGTATTGGTCAAAGAATAATATAGCCGATGTTCAAGTTCAAGCTTTCAGGTAGGGGAATAAACACAATAGGTTTCAAATGGCCCCATAGAAAAAGTCTAATGGCGTCAAATCAGTAGAGCTAGCAGGCCATTCTATAGGCCCTCTTCGGCCTATCCATATATATGGAAACTCGTCGCCTAGCCATTGCCAATCTGGAAGAACATAGTGAGGAGGAACGCCGACTTGTTGGAAATATATTTCAACCTCATCGTTTTCAACAGTTTCAGTTACAGACGGATTGATGGTATTTTCCAACATATCAAAATAACTGTTTCCATTCAAATTAACATTAATAAACAATGTCCCAGTCACTTTGTTTCATAAAATGCCTGCCCATACATTAATTTTTTTGGGGGTACTGGGTAAGCGCTTCTGCAAAAGCATGAGGATTTTCATTGCTCCAATACCCGCAATTATGTTTATTAACAAATGCATTTAGATAAAATGTTGGTCCATTTGTTCACAAAACTCTACTCGCCTATCGAAATCATCTTCGGTTAACTCTTGTAATATTTTCATTTTGAATGGATGAAATTTATGGAGTTTAGTAACTGTGTGTACAGAGCCTAATGAAATACCAGTCGCAGCAACAATTTTACGTAATGAAGTATTAGAATGTATTCCAAAATGACCCAAAACTTCAATTTCAGCGGCTTAATCCAAAACTCTCCGATGAACACGTTTTTCATTAGCAACAAATCCAGTTTGAGTGAATTTAGTCACAAGGTCCAAAACATACCTTAGCAAGTTTTCAAATAAAAACCCTGTATATTCTGTTAAGGCTGTACACATCAGTGATAATCGACCAGTTTCTGACACACTAATATTAATAATTCATTTGTCCAAGAGACAATTTCACTTCCAATATTGCCCCTACATCTTAATGTGTGGCATCTCTCTAGAGTTGGTAGATTGGTGTATATTAAACTTGTGAGTAAAGCTCAAAAAACTTTGTTGCTAATGCACCATTTACTCAACCTATTCAGGTCTTGCTACAATATCTTCAAACAATCTGCGAAAAATAGCTTTAATTTGGATAGCTGCAATGCCAGGTCATTAATATATACTATTGACATATAAATCCGAACACCCAGTTTAAATGGTTTTATTTTAATAAAAGTTGGTGAATGTATTTATCTTACTGTAAATAACAAGTGAAAAAATTTTCAGCCTTATCAGTTGGACATTCCGGTTTTTATACTGCTTTTTTGTTAATTCACAAACGCTCTAAAAATGAATATTTCAGCCGCAGTAAAGAATCAACGTTGGCGGATTTTGGTTCGTGACATCCTTTACGATCGGTTACGATGCCTAGAGTACGGAGACCTGTACCATTTCGTCAACTTAGTGAGTTTGATGGGGGCCGTATAGTGGGACTGGACTTTCTTTTCGGGCAATTGCAGTTAGAGTGCAAAGAAATGTAGACACTGTGGTTAGGTGTTGTCAGGCATGGCTCGAGAAGGCCGTACGCAAAGAGCAAGCGGCACTGGACGCCGCCGTAGAACAACAGACCGTGAAGATCGCCGCCTAAGATTATTGGCCTTAAGGGACCGTTTCTTCACTACCAGGTCCATTGCAAATGAATGGTTTGCAGAACACGGAAGACCTATTGGCATGCGAAGTGTTTACCGACGAATGAGAAGTTTTGGCTTGTTTTCATACCGGCCACAATGGGTCCTCCCTTTAACTCGAGAACACCGACGTAATCGCCTTGAGTGGTGCAGACAACGGTCACTCTGGGATCAGGAATGGAACAGTATTGTCTTTAGTGACGAGTCCTCGATTTTCTTTAGGCATGCACGATGGTAGTGCCAGGGTTAGAAGGCGACGTGGTGAAAGAAGGAATCCACAGTTTTTTGTTGAAAGACATGTTGGAGTTATGGTTTGGGGTGCTATCGCTTATGGTTCCAGGTCACCATTAATCTTCATCTTCATCTTCATCCACGAAGTTCTAGAACCCCATCTTTACCCTATCTTGACACCCTGGCAGATGCAACTTTCCAACAAGATAATGCCCGACCACATGTTGCAAGAGTCACAATAAACTTCTTTCAACATAATGATGTCACATTGTTACCATGGCCACCAAGATCTCCCGACTTATCCCCAATTGAGCACGTGTGGGATATGATGGGTAGGAGATTGCTCAATTTGCAACGTCCTCCTCAGACTCTAGAAGCAACTTCGAGAGGAGTTGGTCGTTGCCTGGAATGAGATACCACAGGAGGACATTGACCACCTGATCAGAAGCATGCCTAGGCGCGTTGGAGAATGCGTAGCACATCAGGGTGCATCCACACATTATTAAAGGTCAAACTGCTTTAAAGCAATGCAATCATTTTTGATTTTTTTTATCATTTACTTATTATGCTTCATTAAGTACTTATACAAAATTTTATTAAAATAGAACCATTTAAACTGGGTGTTCGGATTTATATGTCACTTAGTATATATTATGAATAATAGGGGCCTTATGATTGATCCTGAGGTACCCCTGAAGTAGGAGTACCAGGCATTGAGGTGTAATCCTCATACTTGGATTTGTGTTCCGACTGTAAGATAAGACATTTTCGGAAAATCCGACTGATCGTAGTTTTGAACAAAGTAAGTAGGTCGATAAGTCAAATAATGCTTTGCGGAAATCCGTGTATATCCATCAACTTGGCCTTGACAGTCTACTACCCGAATCTTCACGAATTGATTCAGATGGATTTCTTCAAGATCATCGTGATTATGTTTAGCGGTGTTTACATCAACGGACATGGATTATCTATCAGTACACAGTACTGCTAACCACACAACAAATTCTTGCTAGAAACATTTTAAGTCTCTAAACGGACTTCCTTTGAACAGGGTGATGCAGAAAAGCTAAATCAGAATATTCTTTCCAAACAGGTGCAAGATACCCCCGGACTAATACAGCAGGTTAGCGAGTGAGTAGCAGCAATACATCAACTTACGTGCGCCCTAGACAGCAACCTCCTTCATGATGTAGTTGTCGTAAATATCCTTGGCGCATTTCAGTCGTTCTTCGTAGCATTCCAGCTTCTCGTACGCTTTTATCTGAAACAAAAAGAACCATCTTTCAGAACTACGTCTCGAGTACAGAAACCAGCATGAGAGGGATGCTTTTAATGCATCTCGAGAGGCACGTTAGTTACAACCAGAATGCTGCTTATTTTTTCGTATTGTGTATCTGTGTTTCACAACCACCAAATTGACGTAATTAACTGGTTGTGGATTGAACAAGCTTTCAATAACGAAAGTGAATAGAGAGATTTACTGATAAGTCAGATATATATAATAAAGTACACATACTGTAAGAAAGCATTTAAAAATTAACTTTGAATTCCCCGTTCAATTTAAAACAAATGATCTCTCTTGAGTTGCTTTCCTTTGATTCGCCATTTTCGAGTAAACAAATAAAAACCACGATGCTCTTAACCAAGCCCTGTCTGAAGTCAACTGGCCTGCTTTGCTTAACAACCGTAGCACCCAAGATATGTGGGACACTTTCGCTCAACGAGTCCTAAGCGAAACGGCTGACAATACTGTTGAAAAGAAGTATACTGTGACCCCTCAAAGCCCTGGATCAACTCTAACATATCGAGGATGCTTCGTCACAAGAGATCTTTGTGGCAACGGTTTAGGAGGAGTGGCCATTCACAAGATTACGTGTCTCATCGATCCTTTTCTAACCTCCTATCTAGAACGTTACATAATGCCAAACATGCTTATGAACGAAAACTCGTTACCTCCAAAAATAAGAAGAAGCTGTTTCGGTATCTAAGAACAAACCTGAATTCCAAAGTTTCATCACCTCAGATCCGCGACGCTGACGGTCATCTCCACATGGATGCCACCGAATCTGCCAACTTACTGGCAGAGTCCTTTAGTGATGACTTCGTCGATGAGCCTAATGGAGACCTTCTACCGACCACTATCTGCCATAGGTGTCCCAACAGCCTTTGCGAAGTTGAGTTCCTGCCTGAAGATGTATTAATGCACCTGCGAAATCTGAAGACCTCTTCCTCCCCTGGTAAAGATGGGATGACGGCTGCTGTACTTAAAAACTGCGCTTCAGCACTGGCCCTACCATTAAGCTTGATATTCACATCGTCTTTTAGATCTCATACCCTACCCTCATGCTGGCTTAGTGCTTCTGTTACCCCTGTATTCAAAAAGGGCGACAAATCCTCCGCTAAAAATTATCGACCAATAAGTCTCGTTCCTATCGCCGCCAAAATAGCTGAAAGAATCATATTAGATAAGCTCCTGTCATTTGCTTTCGAATCAGCATGGATTTCTCCCTGGTCGATCAATAATGACCAACCTTCTCCACTCTCTCAACGATTGGACTCAGTATCTGGACACAAAGACTCCTGTTGATATAATCTACTTAGATTTTTCTAGGGCTTTCGATCGCGTACCACATAGAAGGCTTCTGTTTAAGTTGGAATGTATGGGAATAAGAGGCGAGTTGTTACTGTGGATTAAGGCTTTTCTCACGGGAGGACTTTCTCTGTGCGCGTCAGTGATAGCCAGTCTCACCTTCATCATGTAGCAAGTGGAGTTCCTCAAGGCTCTGTCTTGGGGCCAGTGCTGTTCCTTCTGTATACAAGTGACCTGCCCGCATTGATTTCCTCCACATGTTCAGCTTATGCCGACGACACCAAGATTTACAATACTGTCGTAAATTCTGCTATGCTTCAACGAGATCTTGATATTGTTTGTCAATGGTCAGTCAGTTGGCTTTTACCCTTAAATCTAACTAAGTGTTGTGTCCTTCACCTCGGGAAGACAAATCCGCGATTTACATACAAGATCTCTGACCACAACATCGAAGCAGTTTCCAGCCACACTGATCTGGGCGTTGTAGTCAACGATCGTCTTTCCTGGTCAGAGCATATTCACCACGTTACATCAAAAGCCAAGAAACTTCTATACATGCTGGAGAGGTCTTTCAAAGGATCCGATGTCAACACTTGCGCCTACATTTACAAGGCATTCGTGAGGCCAATTCTTGAATTCGCTGGCCCGGTATGGGACACTGTGCTTCTGCGCGATAGAAATCTCGTCGAATCAGTACAGCGTCGGGCTACTCGTATCCCTTTTGGAGCACGAAGACCAAGCTATGAAGATCGCCTTGAATTATTCAACCTGACCTCATTCTCTGAGCGAAGACTTCGTGGCGATCTTATAGTTACGTTCAGGATACTTCATGGTTTGATGGGCACCAACCTCATGCATCTATACCGTCTGTCGCGCAGCAATCTACGCGGACACAGCTTCAAACTGCATAAGGAGCCATTTAAAACAACAGTCCGACAGTGGTTTCTTCCCAACCGCATATTACCTGGAATAGTTTACCTGAAAGTGTGGTTGGTGCTACTTCAGTTAATAGCTTCAAAGTGCAGTATGATAGCTGGAGGAGTGTACAAACTTTATAGCTATGAACTGTCTTTTTTTATTTTTTTCTATTTGATGTATTTGTGTTACGTGTCCGTACACTATATTTACTGCATGAGCTTATAGTACTGTGTACTCTGCTCATCTCAATTATCATAATAATAATAATAATAATAACAAGTGCCAAAACCTGCATTTTGCCTCGGTTTCGGCCATAACTTTTTTACTATTAGTCGTATCTTTTTACGTGTCGTCTATTTTGTAGGTCTCGTAGATACCTAAAAATCTTACGTGAAGAGTTTTTTCGTTCCTGCCAACATTTCCAATTGAATTCCAAAAAACACGTTTTCTCATTCTTGTTGTCGAATAAAACTTTTCCAAAAATTGGTGTACCATTTTATGCATGCGTCCATGTTTTAAATACCCCCTTGACCAACTGTGCAATAAAACCCGAACATACAATTATTTCCGGGAAATTATCTAAAATGACTAGACTATAAAACGTATACTTCTAATCTACAATTTTTAATTGCTTCTCGTCCCCTCGTGCTTAAGAAAAAATAAACGTACTAGTTTATTGCCCGTTCTATCTTCTACGACGGTGGTATATAAATATACAAATCACCCTTATAAAAGGAAAACCGAACAAACTCGAGCAGACTAGACCACCATACCAATGAGCCTTCATTGTTGTCCTTTATCATCGTGTCGTGTCGGAAGTCTGCTCGCTACCCTCGCTCGCCATGGCTTGCATTCTGTTGCAGATAAAAACACACACACATGACGTGCTATTTACCAACCACGTGTGTATAGTGATGCAGAGATAGGAAATTTGTATATATTATGCAGATTCTGAAATATTGCCCTGATACAAGAAACAGAGAAAGGATAGTGTATTCATAGGATTGTAGGTTATTATCATCAAGAGAGATGTGTGTAACCATAATCTCTCGAAAACATATAATACAAAAAATAGTGGACAAGTTGCTATAAAAATAG